AAAAAAAAAAATGAGTCAGGCAAAGTCAGAGCTGTCAGCAATCGTCTTGGAGTCACTGACTCCTAACTCTGAGGGAGGGAGAGCCTGGACTCGCCCTCTCACTTCTCATGTCAAATGTATTCTTGATGGGCTTAAGATTTCAAGGTAAACAAAAAATCCTAAAAATGCTTGAAAAAGTGAGTTGCATACATATATATAACTCATATATATATATATATATAGAAAGAGTACACAAACACATATGGATCGAGAGGTATCGTGGAATGAGAAAATCTTCCCAAGAATTGTTTAAAAGAAAAGAAAATTCCTAAAAATCATACAGAAAATTTTGGATGAAAAAAATTTTTTATGAAAATGCCTAAAAACATAAGACTTCTGGGCCAGCAAGATGGCTCAGTGGGACAACCTGTGCTTAGTCCCCAAGACCCTCATGGTCGAGAGACCTGATTCCAACAAGTGCTCCTCTGATCTCCACATTAGTTCCATAGTGCATATTCACACAAATAATAAATAAATTTTATTTTTTATTGTTATTTCATGTGTATGGGAATTTTGCCTGTGTGTAAGTGCACCTGTACATGCTGACAGAGGCCAGAGAGTGTCAGATACTCTGGAACTGGAATTATGGATGGCCATTAGCCACCATGTGGGTGCTGGGAACTGAACCTGGGTCCAAGAAAAGCCAGAGCTCTTAACTGCCGAACCACCTCTCCAGCCTCCAGGATGCTGCCCTTCCCCTCTCCAGGATGCTGCCCTTCCCCTCTCCAGGATGCTGCCCTTCCCCTCTCCAGGATGCTGCCCTTCCAGCCTCATGGCTGTTCTACATGCAGCTACATTTACCTGCAGATTCCTCCCTGAGACGTCCCTTTCCAGACCATTCCTTCTACACTTCCTTTCACCTCCTTTTGCCACTGAGAGAGCCTTCCTTTATTTTAAAATTTACTTTTAAAAATATTTCATTTTAATTTTATGTGTATATTTTGCCTGCATGTGTGTAACTAAGTACACCCATGTCATCAGAAGAGGGTGCTGGATCCCTTGAAACTGGAATTATGAACAGTTGTTAGCCACCATGCGGGTGCTGGGAACCAAACCCCGGTCCTCTGCAACAGGAGCCAGTGCTCTTAACTGCTGAGCCATCTCTCCATCCCCTCTCTATGTGTTTTAATAGGCATGGGAGAAACTACATCCATAGATGAGACTTTCTCAACACTACAGTTGTAGCCTAGTTCATTCCTTCATTTGTAGTTAAGACAATGATGTAGGTTCCAGTTTCCAATTCAAACTCCGAGTGCTAGGGTCAAGCAGTCTCCCCTGCTCATGAGCATCCTGGAGTTTCTGCACGTTAACCAAAGTTCAAATTTAGTTGGACAAGAAGTGCATTTTATACCCTTTTAGTTTGGTTGGGTTCAGTACATTGGGTGGACTGTCCAGATGGCTGAAGAAGGTCTTGCTTCTCATAAAAACACTTTTGTTCACAAGGATTCAGTGAGCATGTCTGCTCCAAAGTACCTGCAATGCCAAGTACCTCAGAGGCACAGTGGAGCCTCCATGTCCTCAGTTGGAAAGAAAGTGAATACAAAACTCTCGGCTGGTACAGATGGGTAAAAGCACAGACTTGGGCTCTGAGAGTGTCAGTACCGAGGGGGACACA